GGCGCCCCGGCATAGTCAGCTGGTTCCATCGCTGTCTATAGGGGGCGAAACTTTGGCCCCCTCAGAGAGGGCACGCAACTTGGGTGTCCTCCTGGATCCACGGCTGACACTGGAAGATCATTTGTCGGCCGTGACCAGGGGGGCGTTTTATCAGGTTCGCCTGATTTACCAGTTGCGCCCTTTTCTGGACCGGGACGCTCTGCGCACAGTCACTCATGCTCTCGTCACCTCCCGCCTGGACTACTGTAATGCTCTATACATGGGGCTCCCTGTGAGGAGCATCCGGAGGCTTCAACTGGTCCAGAATGCGGCCGCGCGGGCGGTGTTGGGAGGGACTCGTCGCTCCCATGTAACACCGCTGTTGCGCGAGCTGCACTGGCTGCCAGTGGCCTTCCGGGTGCGCTTTAAGGTGTTAGTTACCACCTTTAAAGCGCTCCAAGGCATTGGACCTGGCTACCTCCGAGACCGCCTTCTGCCACAGATTCCCTCCCATAGACCGGTACGCTCCCACAGAGTTGGTCTCCTCAGGGTGCCGTCGGCCAAGCAGTGTCGGCTGGCGACCCCCAGGGGGAGGGCCTTCTCTGTGGGTGCCCCCGCCCTCTGGAACGAACTACCCCCTGAGATCCGGACGATTCCGGATCTCCTTACTTTCCGCCGCACCCTCAAGACATCGCTTTTCCAGCAAGCAGGCCTGGCCTAGGGAGGATTTTAAATTGGGTTCATTTTTTTAGGAAATTTTAAACAGCACAACTCTAAAATATTTGGTTTTAATTGGTTTTATTTGGTGGGGTTTGTAAATATGTTTCTGTTTTTAAATATGTTGTGAGCCGCCCTGAGTCCCGTTGGGAGAAGGGCGGGATATAAATCAAAAATAAAGTAAAGTAAAGTAAAAAGGGGTAGGCAACCTTGGCTCTTTTATGACTGGTGGACTTCAACTCCCAGAATTCCTGAGCCAGCCATGCTGAGGGGAAAGGGAGAGGTTTCCAGGCTGGCTCAGGGATTCTGGGAGTTGAAGTCCATGAGTCTTAAAGTTGCCACGGTTGAGGACCTCTGATATAGGGCAGGGGTGGGGAACCTTGGCTCTTTTATGACTGGTGGACTTCAACTCCCAGAATTCCTGAGCCACCCATGCTGAGGGGAAAGGGAGAGTTTCCAAGCTGAGCCATGCTGGCTCAGGAATTCTGGGAGTTGAAGTCCACGAGTCATGAGGGGGCCATAGTTCCCCCATGCTGGCTCAGGAATTCTGGGAGTTGAAGTCCACGACTCATGAGGGGGCCATAGTTCCACCATGCTGGCTCAGGAATTCTGGGAGTTGAAGTCCACAAGTCATGAAGGGGCCATAGTTCCCCCATGCTGGCTCAGGAATTCTGGGAGTTGAAGTCCACGAGTCATCAAAGAGCCACGGTTGCCTACCCCTGTCCTAGAGATATCACATACTTGGACTCCCCCTCCCCCAGCTTCTCTGTCCTCTGCTGTCATGGGATGCACCATCTCTTCCATCCTTCAAAGAAGGGCCAGACATTCAAGATCGAGACACAAGGAAAGAGAGGAAAATAACAACTGGAAACAGTGCCGTTGTTATTGTAGAAAGAAGAAGGACTAGCTCCTTGCTCCCAGGGAATATCAGGATTATATGTTAGCCGCCAGTCTATGCCCAAGACAGTTGGGATGTGCCAGGAAGCCATCGGCTTCCTGGTTATTTGTTCTTAATTGCGTAGGAGACGTGCCCCATGCAGGATCTGGTCCGGCCATCAGTCCTCTCCTCTCCTTACAAAGGGTTTTCCGGTGTTGTGAACTTAGCAGTCACCCCAGGGTCTTTTGCTGGGAGCTGAACCCACAACTGTGAAGATTAACAAGCTTTTGTAAAATTCGACACAGGTGATCCTCGACTTAAATTGAGCCCCACATTTCTGTGACTAACCGAGATGTTCGTTAAGAGAGTTTGGTCCCGCTTTACCATCTCTCTTGTCACCCGTCGTTAAGCGAGTCACGGCGGTTGATAAATTGGCAGCCCCGTTGTTAAGCGAACCTGGCTGGCCCCTTGTCAGAAGGTCGCAAAAGGGGATCACATGACACACACACACAGATGTAAATATGAGCCAGTTGCCAAACGTCTGAATTTTGATCATGTGAATCACACGGTTGCAGCAGTTGTGTGAAAACCGGCTGTAAGTCCAATTTTTTTCGGTGCCGTTTTAACTTCGGTCACTAAACGGACTGTGGTTAAGTCGGGGACCACCTGTGCAGGATCCATACAGGGCAGGGGCCTGGCCCAGCTTGAGGGGATCTCGTCAGTCCTCCCCGTTGGCAAAAGGATTTCCGGTGTTGCGCAGTTAGCAATCATCCCAGAGTCTACCAGATCCGGGCCCAACTGATTCGTGATTTGTGACGATTAAAGAGGCGTTCGATAATGGAGCTTCCCTTGTGTCAAAGCAATAATATCCAATGCCTGGAAGTTCTTTGAAGTGTTTCATTAGTCGGAACCGTGACACCTTAATTGCCTGCACTCTTGGGAAGTGGGAGCTGTGAAGTCTCCTGAAGTGGAGGCTTGAGAGCGATTTGGGCATTTACTCACGAGGTGACCCATCCCTCCATAAGTCTGGCTGTTTTCCAGCCAATCCAGGATGGCTTCTCTCCCCTGATAAGCTCTGGAGAATAGCCCGGCCTTTCCCGCTCTCCTTTTGCCCGTCTTCCGATTTCTGCTCTGAACAAAAATCTTCGGTCGCGCAGCTGCCTCCCGGGGCGTTTCCATAAATGGTGCGATTCTCCAGCGGATAATTTGTGTTTCCCTGCTTTTCCAGGACTTGGTCAACATTGAGATGTTCCTAACTGCCAAAGAAGTAGAAGAGTCCTTGGAAAGACAAGAAACGATGACCTGTTTAGCTTGGTGCCATGACAACAAATCTAGGCTCAGGAAAATGAAGGTACAAGCGGAATTCGAGATGGGTGGGGAATATTGGTCACTTTAACCACCGTCTCGCTTAGCAACAGACATTTTTGGGCTCGGTTCTGGTCGTAAGTCGAGAACTGTCTGTAACGGAGTGTCAAAACCTTCCCGCTCCTTTGTTCCAGGGATGCCGGTCTCTCTTCGGCCAGTTTTGTGGACAAGAGGCTGAAGCTTGTACCTTTGTCATGTGGTGTTGTTAGCCATCAAACCTCAAAACTACACTTTTCCCAAAAGGTTTCCACAATTTTGGCCACTACTATAGGTGGCACATAGGAAATTAGCTACAATTATTTACAACTCCTGTGGCTCAGTGTTCGTGGGCTCTCTGTCCACCACCAAAGCCCACGAACACTGAGCCACAGGAGTTGTAAAACCTGCTTTACAAGAACGTAATAGAGCTCCACGGGATAGTTAATTTCCTATGTGCCACCTATAGTAGTGGCCAAAATTGTGGAAACCTTTTGGGAAAAGTGTAGTTTTCGAGGTTTGATGGCTAACAACACCACTCGTTTTTGGACTAGTACCATAAAATTATGTATCAGTGGAAAGATAATTTAATCGAGAATGTAATGCAACAAAGTTTGTTCAATTATCTGTACTGTGTTCCACGAAATGTTATAGCCAAATAACCAGAAAAAGGAAGCACGACTTGCTCAGGTGGATCTCAGGTAGCTTTCCTTCACCTGATTGTAGCCAATGAGCACGAGTGTTTAGAGAGAGCCAGTCAGGTATCTTCTTGTTTTAGCAATGAGCCAATCAGATCACAGTAGGATCCAGTTATGGACATCATATATTGAAGCTGAGAGGAGGACATTTGTCAGTGTGTTGTGTGATGGCTATCAAGTTGGTTGGGTTTTTTTTGTGTTCTTTCATTTAGTGAGCTTGTAAAACGTAATAAAATTAAAGTCATGGTGCAAAGAGTTGACCGGTCGCCCAGAGAGCGATGTAAAATAGTATTATTAAGTGAACAAGGCTACAGTTATAAAGAAATTAGAAGAAAAATGGGTGGAAACTTAACCAAAGGTGGTATTTCTACTGTACACTTTTCCCAAAAGGTTTCCACCATTTTGGCCACGACTGTACTGTGTGAGCCAGTTGCTTAGAGCCCAGATTTCGATCCTAGGACAGCGTGGGTCGTAAACACCGCACGTTCAGCGCCATCACAACTTTGATGACTGAAAGAGTGGTCAGGGACCCCCCTGTATCTGGGAAGAGAGGATTTGGGGGTCTTATTTAGTATTGAAAAGTGTTAAGGGGATTAGTCATTTGAAGCTACTTTTTTGGGGGGGGGAAATAGCTCACCTACAGGTAATCCTTATCCCTGCAGTCTCCCTGTTTGAGTTTTGCCAAGTCTTCAGGTGTTCTTGGCTTCCTTAAAAAGGTGAATCGGGATCTGTTTCGATACTGTGATAAAAGAGTATCAGGAATAGCTTAAAAGTAATTTTTGAAGAGCCTTCTGAGAGAATTACCCAATGTATATATCTAGGTAACATTTCAGTTGGAAACTGAACAGAAGAGTTGAACAAATGTGTGAAAATCGAACTTTGTTGTAATAAAGTTTTAAAAGAAAACTTAATGTGGATATATAAATGTATTTTTTAAAATAAATAAAGCATTTGGTTATGAAGTAACATCAAATTGCATAAATACATTCCATGGCGTTAATTTTGAATTTGGCTCTTAATATATTCAGATATTCATATATTGTATTGCTTTTGAGGTAAGTTACCCAAATAAACACAGTTGAACAAATGTGTGAAAATCGAACTTTGTTGTAATAAAGTTTTAAAAGAAAACCTAAGGTGGATATATAAATATATTTTTTTAAAAAATAAAGCATTTGGTTATGAAGTAACATCAAATTGCATAAATACATTTCATGGCGTTAATTTTGAATTTGGCTCTAAATACATTCAGATATTGTCTTGTTTTTCAGGTAAGTTACCCAAATAAAGACAGATAAAATTACGGGTCAAGTGTCTAAATCTTGCTATGGCCTGTCTTAAGATTTGTTTTCTTTTCAATTTAGAGTTGTCTGGAATTCAGTCTAAGGATTCAGGAGTTCATAGAACTTATTCGACAGAACAAGAGACTGGATGCTGTCAGGTACAATGAAACTTGCATGCTCGTAGGAAAGTGAGACTGTAAAGACGTGCCCGAATTGGGCACGGAAGATTATTTTTAAAAGATACTACATTACAGGTTTGCTGTTTCAAAATTGTTACCAAAAGTAGTTAGATTTTCTTTAGGAGAATTTCCCATATACGTTTGTATAAAAGTTCTATGAAAAGAAGATTAAAAATTAATACAAAGAGGAAGGAAAGAAGGAAGGAAGGAGAAAAGAAAGAAAGAGAAAAAGAAAGACAGAGGGAAAAAGAAAAGATAAAAAGAAATAGAAGAAGCTTCCAAGTTAAAGGAACTTGGAAGCGTCTTCTATTTCTTTTTATCTTTTCTTTTTGCATTTCTGCATTTTTCTCTTTGCTGCAAATACAAATGCAGTATAATTGCAAACATTATCTTTAACTCTGCGGTTACCAAAAAAAAAAAAAAAAGCTTTTTCCTATTATCTAATGATTGTATTTTCTAATGGTTTCTCGTCATCAAAACCACAAATTGAAAGTTCGTTTTTTTCCTGTTTTATGCAGAAAAGGGATTTCCAGTCAGCAATAGAGGGAGGGAGGGAGGGAAGGGGAGAGAGAAGGGGAGAGAGAAGGGAAGAAAGAAGGGAAGAAAGAAAGAAGGAAGGGAAGAAAGAAAGAGACAGACAGAAAGAGAGACAGAGAAAGAGAGAGAGAGAGGAGAAAGAAAGAAAGAAAGAAAGGGAAGGAAGGAAGAAAAGGAAGGAAGGAAGAAAAGGAAGGGAAGGAAAGAAAGAAAGAAAAAAAAAAGGAAAGAGAGAGAGAGAAGGAAGAAAAAGGAGGAAGGGGCATCAGTTATCCTCTCCAAAGATCTGGAAGAAGAGTGGCATCTTTGAGACCCTTTGAAACCCCATCAGAGGGGGAGCATTTGAATTTTAGGGGGACCCTCACCCCAGAGAGCAGACGTTGCGACAGAAAAGTCCTGCTGCCAGGGTCCCGATAGATGCAATTATTTATTTGATGGAGCCCGAAGCGCGCCAGCCTGGCCCGATCGAACCAGTCGGGCAGATACTATTGGAGACGGTCAGTCCCTCGGGTAGCCGGGTCCCGTGCCATGCTGGAAATTGTTTGGGAAGTAGCCGAAAATAGAACTGCCAGTCTGATAGCGCCACTGTATAAATCTACGGTGTGATACTGCAGTTATGGTCATTCTGTCTCAAAACTGGGGGGGAAAAAACATTGCAGAGAAGACCCATAAAAACCAAGGAGGGGCGATGAACTCCGGCGCTTCTTAGCTTAGAGCGGAAGCCGTAAAGGAAGACGAATCCCAGTGGCAACAGCAGAAACCGACAAAGAGAGTCGAAAGATCGATAAAAGGAAACGTTTCTTCCCTTGGAGTTGTGCCATCGGATGTGGTTGCAGCTATCAATTTAAGTGGCTTTGAACAGGGTTGCAAATATTAATGGAGGATTTGATTTTTCCAGCTGCTCTTCCCCTTTAGGCCTGTGTGTACTTGTGAGCCTCCTGAATCCATCTACGGGGTTGTCGTTCTCTGCTACATTAGATGGAGTTTTGGCCTGATCCAAGTGGACTCTGACGTTACAGGCATTAGCTATCAAACTTAATGTCCACCCATCAGGGATTAGGGAAGACGCTGGAGTGCGCAAATCTGTACATGAGCAATTATTTGCACACTTACAGGATGTTATAGGTCAGAGGTCCCCAACTTTTTGGGCACCAGGGACCGGTTACGTGGAGAGAGGTTTTCCCGCGGACCGCAGGGTGCGTGGTTTTGTGTGCTGCCTGCATCCCCAGATGGAGCTTTGCTTGTTTGTGCGGACCGGTTGCTGGCATGCCGCGGCCCATACCGGTCCACGGACTGGGGGTTGGGGACCCCTGTTATAGATGGCTCTAGTCCAGAGGTCCCCAACCGTTGGGGCACCAGGGACCAGTTACGTGGAGAGAGGTTTTTCCGCGGACTGGAGGGTGCGTGGTTGTGTGTGCTGTCTGCATCTCATGGATAGGGCTTTGCTTGTTTGTGTGGACTGGTTGCTGGCATGCTGCGGCCTGGTACCGGTCCACGGACCGGGGGTTGGGGACTCCTGCTCTACTCAACTAACTCTGAGCAGCCTACAATGCCCCAGTACCAAATCAGGATAAAAGCAGCAATAGAAGTCAAAGTTACAAACGAAACACGTACATTGTAACGTAAAACAGGAGGCCTGCTGTGAAGAATAAGATCAGTTTTATTCCGGAGATCAATTTTATTCTGAAATCGATTCATTAACGGGAAGGATATTCACTCCCAGAATTCCTAAGGGGCCAGCACGCTTCCGTTCCAAAATAAAACAGAAATCAGAAATGTCTGCAAATGAAGAATGTGGCAAAGGAACCCCTGTTCTGTATGTCTTGAATTTCAGACACGCACGGAAGCATTTCAGCCAGGCCGAGGGGAGCCAGCTGGACGAAGTGCGGCAGGTGATGGGGATGCTGGCTTTTCCTTCCGATACTCACATCTCTCCTTACAAGGTGGGCTGCTTTTGCCTTCAGTTTTGTGTGTGTGTGTGGGGGGGGGGGAAGGGGCAGGTTAATACGGCTCATCATGGCAGGTTAATTTGGGCTGGCCTCCACAGTTAAAACCGAGGCAAGCGCTTCAATCCTCTGGTGGTGCGTGATCCTTCCTGTGACAATCTGTTTTCCATAATTATCACGATTTTTAAGGTTTGGGCACGATAGAAGGGAAGAGTCGTAAGCGTGTTCAGACCTGCATTATACCTGCAATCGTTTTGGGCGTCCGGGCCAGGCAGTCTTTAGACCAGTGGTTCTCAACCTGTGGGTCGGGACCCCATTTGGGGTCGATCGACCATTTCATGGGGGTCGCCAAGCAAGGCTGTCCGCCATTTTTTTGTCCGCCATTTTTTCCCCCTTTTCCGGCGGGTGCCTTACCTCCCTTGGGCTGGGCCAGCTGGTGGTCGGCCTGCTCCGTCTCTGCCGCTTGCCAGCTACGCCTCGGCCGGTGCAGGAGGCGGAACCACGCATGCGCGGCACTCCCGGGAAGGGAAAGTCCTCGACTTACGACCGGTTGGGTAGTCGTCGACTTACGACCAGTTTAGTCCTCGACTTACGACCAGTTTAGTCCTCGATTTACGACCGGTTGGGGTTGTGGCATTAAAAAGGTTGAGAACCACTGCTTTAGACCCTCACGACCACAATCAAATTCAGGATTTCTGTTGCTAAGTGAAAACATGTGTTAAGTGAGTTTTGACCCGTTTTACGACTTTCCTTGACGCAGCTGCTAAGTGAAGCGCTGCAGTAGTGAATCCGGCTTCCCCCGTTGACTTTGCTCGCCAGAAGGTCACAAAAAGGGGGATCACATGACCCCAGGACACGGTCATCAATGCTTGGAAACTGACTTGTACTTATGACGGTGACAGTGTCCCCGGGGGGGGGGTGTCACGCGATCCCGTTTTGCCACCTTCTGACGAGCAAAGTCAATGAATAAGCCAGATTCACTTCACACTTGTCTGACTAAACAAATGCAATGACTCGCTTAACAACGGTGTGCAAGAAAAGTCGCAAAACGAGGCAAAATTCACTTAACAAATGTTTTCCCTTAGCAGCATAAATCTTGGGCTCAACCGTGTTTGTATCTCGAGGACACCCTGTGCGTAATTCTATATTTTAATAGTCTGAAACCGTGCTCACTCTCCCTCCGGCTTTTTATTTCCTTCTGCCCAGGATCTCCTGGACCCTGCTCGGTGGAGGATGCTAATCCAGCAGTTTAGATACGATAACTACAGATTGCATCAACTGGGAAATAACTCTGTCTTTACCATAACACTCCAGGCTGGGCTTTCTGCTATAAAAACACCGTATCCTTCCACGTGTATTCTTCGGTCTTTTTTTAAAAAAAAAATGCCTTTTTTTTCTCTTTTTTTAAACAGACTGACTCTTTCCTAAACTGCTCTCTGACAAATACGCAGTGATAATAGCCGCCTTTAATTCAAACAATCATCCCAGCGACTGGCTTTCGTGCTTTGCATGCCACAAAAATATATATATATATATATACTGGAATGTGAAAAATGCAGGCTTGGAGATGAACGCCAAGATTACCTTTCCTTGTAATGCACGCGATCAAAATTCCAAACCTCTCTTTTTTTTTCTTTTCTTTTTGCGCCGAGTAAAAAAAGAACCGATCTGAATAATACATGCTATCAAATATTCCAGGCGCCTTGACGATACCTCAGCTTTTAACGTTGCTTCGGGGAGTAGGGGACTGTGCAAATTACACACGACTGGTTCCTGTTGATAGGCCCAAAATTGGGGAGGGGGGAATATCTGCATCATTTCACATTAACCCTGGAGTTATCTGTGACAACCGTATTTGTCTTACCGCTTTAAATAATATTTTCCTATTATTATTCTTCCTTAACTTGTTTTTAAACAGGCAGTGTTATAAAGAGGATGGCAGTTCCAAAAACCCCGACTGCCCGGTGTGTAGCAAATCCCTCAATAAGCTGGCCCAGCCTTTGCCCATGGCGCATTGTGCCAACTCACGGCTAGTCTGCAAGATTTCAGGAGACGTGATGAATGAGAATAATCCCCCCATGATGCTTCCCAACGGATACGTCTACGGATACAATGTGAGTGGGGGCTCAGGACCGTCCCAATTCGAATTTGGCCTGGACCAGGAGTAGGCCACCTTGGCTCTTTTATGACTCGTGGACTTCAACTCCCAGAATTCCTCAGCCAGCATGGCTCAGCTTGGAAACCTCTCCCTTTCCCCTCAGCATGGCTGGCTCAGGAATTCTGGGAGTTGAAGTCCATGAGTCATAAAAGAGCCAAGGTTGCCTACCCCTGGCCTATACTATCTCTGGATTTGGATCACATGACCATGGTCAGGGGTAGGCAACCTTGGCTCTTTTATGACTGGTGGACTTCAACTCCCAGAATTCCTGAGCCAGCATGGGGGAAACTTTGGCCCCCTCATGACTGGTGGACTTCAACTCCCAGAATTCCCGAGCCAGCCTGGCTCAGCTTGGCAACCTCTCCCTTTTCCCTCAGCATGGCTGGCTCAGGAATTCTGGGAGTTGAAGTCCACCAGTCATAAAAGAGCCAAGGTTGCCTACCTCTGGCCTGGACTAACGAATAAACACATTAGATTAGATTAGATAACCTTTATTGTCATTTTTTACTGTGGGCACAATGGCACCCATTAAACATGAAATTTAGTTGCTTACTCTGAAAGTGTACACATACATAACAGACATTTAAACATATGCAACATATGTTTAGACCAGGGGTCTTCAAACGTGGCCCTTTTATGACTCGTGGACTTCAACTCCCAGAATTCCTGAGCCAGCCATGCTGAGGGGAAAGGGAGAGGTTTCCAAGCTGAGCCAGGCTGGCTTGGGAATTTTGGGAGTTGAAGTCCACACGTCATGAAGGGGCCATAGTTCCCCCACGCTGGCTCAGGAATTCTGGGAGTTGAATTGCACGAGTTATAAAAGAGCCAAGGTTGCCTACCCCTGGTATAGACCTACACCCTTACATATGAGTAACATATAAAGATTAATCACTATCCATCTTGAATACATAACACGGCATTTAAAATGCCTTGGAGGTCATCTAGTCCAACCCTCTGCTCAGGCAGGAAATCCTATAGCATTTCAGATAAATGGCTGTCCAGTCTCTTCTTAAAAACCACCTGGGTTGGAGAAGGGAGGGAGGGAGGGAGGAAGGAAGGAAGGAAGGAAAAGAATAACAGACTCGGAAGGGGCCTTGGAGGTCTTCTAGTCCAACCCCCTGCTCAGGCAGGAGACCCTATACCATTTCAGACCAATGGCTGTCCAGTCTCTTCTTAAAAACCTCCAGTGTTGGAGCATTCACCGCTTCTGGGAGGCATTTTGCTCTTGAGATGTCTCTGATCTTTCTCCTTCTGTGTTTTCTTCCAGTCCTTGCTTTCTGTTCGTCAGGATGACCGAGTCATTTGCCCGAGAACCAAAGAAGTCTTCAACTTCTCTCAAGCCGAGAAGGTCTACATTATGTAAACCCCCTCCTCACGCGCAATGAAGTGCCACTGGATTTTGACACAATTTATTCTAGCCGTGCCCTGTGGGAACAATCTCGAGCCCGGCAAAGAGAGCTGCGACTCGGGAGGGCCGGGAAAGGGTTAGGGGTTGGGGGTGGGAATTCGGATTTCTTGGTGGCATTTTTTGTTTTCCCCTTGCGACCAAAGATCAGTGAGCAGAAACATAACTACTCTGAGAAAGTGAGGAAGTGTGACTAAAATTAAAAAGAAAAAAAAGAAAAAAAAAAGTTGCATTCGGAGGGAACAAATTTTGAATGCTTCGATTTTGTAAACCACGATTGGATTTTTTTTCTCAAACATTCATCCAGCAGAAGCAGCTTACTCAAAACAGATCATTTTGCAGAACAACAACAAAACACACACACACCCCACTTTTTAACTGTAGATCTCACTTCAGCTTTGGGTACACCCCCCCCCCCCGTTTCAACCCATGTATGATATGTTGTATGATTCGACGGGATTAAATATGCAAATTTTTAAGAGATGGCACCGGAGGGCTGGTTCTCAGCTCCCCCGACGCGTGTCAGTCCTGCGTTCTCGAGGACACGCAAGGGAGCGTGTGCCTGCACACGCATTTCCCCTTCTGATGTGGTCACCGTGAGCCACACACACCTGGAAACACACTCACTGCGCCCAGGTGTGCAAACACTTCATCTGTGTTGGCAAACACTTTTTTGGGGTATCGTCCGTCACGTTGCCTTTAAAAAAACGGCCGATCCTTGGAATCGTTGCTTGATGGATGCTAACACAAGACAGAGGAGGGTTTATTGCCGTCTCTAAAATCCCTACAATTCAGTGTTTTCTCAACTTTGGGAACTTGAAGATAGGTGGACTTCCAACTCCCAGAATTCTGGGAGTTGGAAGTCCACCTATCTTCCAAGTCCCCACATTTGAGAAGCTCTGTCCTAGATAACTTTTAAGAAACTTTTAAACAATTGCTTAAACACAGAACTGGTAACATTGCAGGCACAATGTGCTGCTTGTTCGTCTGTCCTCCCTTCCATTTGATCATAGTGTTAAGGACCTTTCGTTTATTAGTTACTACGTGCATAGGATTCAACTATCAAAAAACCATTTAGTGCTAACTGCCTTATTTTTTTTGCTTTGAGAATGTATTCACATGAGAGGGGGGAAAAAAATCAGCTGGTAACCTTAAGTGTTGGGGAAGTTTTGAAGAAGATGCCTTTCAGAATTCTGTAATTTTAAGGTATTCACAGCCGAAGGAGGTTAGTTCAATTTTTAACCGCTACCAATCACATCCTTATCGTCTGCCAGACATCCCCATTTGTAGTAGCGACAAAAACCATATGATAGACTTTGCATTTAGCCTTTATTTTTGCATGTTGATGTTGATTAGCTAATAAAGACATTGCTCATAGCCCTCGTTTCTGCTCATTAATTAAAACAAGTGTGTTAAATGTGCTTTAAAAATCCAAGTGGTTAATACAGTATTTTTTCCCCCCCCAGTAAAAAGGTGGATTACTGGAGTTTTATCAAAAAAAAACCCTGGTTTTGACAAGCGGTCAATCCCTTTTAAATTTTTCCTCAGGAGAAAATGCTAATTATGTCAAGGTTTTTGTGATTGCATAATGTAGAAGTAACGAGTCCCATTTAATACTTAAGGTATTTCAACCTTGAGGTGAACATCTGGATGAGATAAAAAGCCTTGAAAGAATTTAATATGAGGTCCCGTCTTTTTGTAACTGAAAAAGATGCGTTATACACGCTTATTTAATCATCAGGACTTTATAGTCGTGATAGTTTTCAAATTCTGCTTTCGCCGAGTTCGGTGTGCTAATCTTCAAACTGACTCTTCTGTCTCCAAATTTTATATAGAGATTTGATTTACCGTTCTCATCATCTTATCATAGATGAGTGGTGCTTTAAAAATAGAGCATGTGTGATGAAGAATACATATTTTGGAAACAGTTTTGATGTCTCCCATGAGACAATGCCCATTTTCACTTATTTAAAAGGGTACACTTATTTCACTTACTTAAAAGTGTACAATGTGACTGTGGGCATAAACCCCGTTTATCGTGTTTAAATAAAAACCAATGAACCTCAAGTCCTCATCCAAATAATTTCCTCTCCTTTTCCAGGGCTTAAGGAATATCCCTGCCCTTCTTGTTTCCATAACCCCCTGCTGGATAGTAGTCCCTCAAGGCCATCTCCTGGGTGGTCCCCACCATTAAGGAGCCGAGAAAGGAGAAACCAGGTGCCAACAGCACACATTGCAGAGAGAATTAAATTCAGATTTTTTTTTCTTTTTTATCAATTGCTAACATTCAGAGGTCTCCCAAAAGTCAAAAATGTGCCTTTATCACTGGTCTATTCTTTTTCCAAGCTACCATTCTTAGCTCAATCAGGAGAAAATTTTTGCACCTTCTGCAAGGGTCAATTTTTTTCTTTTTCTTCGGCTGGCCTTCCAGCTGGCAAGCCTTTGGGCTGCATGGGACTCCCCTCTCTGGTGCCATTGTCCCTTTTGTGTCTGATTTCCAGCTGAGCTGTTGCCAGGACCGCCCCGGTGTCGTTGCTGCTTTACGGCCCTCTGTCCTCCACCGTCTTCCGGATCGGATTTTTCCTTCCTTCACTGCCGAGGGAGCAAAATGCGAAACGCCGCTGTTCAGTTGCACAGCGAAAGGGAAAAGGCTGTGCAGTCCTCTCCCACGCTTGCCTGCTTAAGAAGAATGCAGGATCCCAGGGCTGGAAGGGCCCTCGGGAGGTCTTCTAGTCCAACCCCCTGCTCAGGCAGGAGCTTCATACAGAATGACAGAGGTGGAAGGAACCTCTGAGGTCTTTTAGTCCAGCCCCTGCTCAAGGCGGGAGTCTCATACAGAATGACAGGTGGAAGGGACCTCAGGAGGTCTTCTAGTCCAGCCCCTGCTCAAGGCGGGAGCCTCATACGGAATGACAAGAGTTGAAAGGGACCTCGGAGGTCGTCTAGTCCAACCCCCTGCTCAAGGCGGGAGCCTCATACGGAATGACAGAGGTGGAAGGGACCTCTGAGGTCTTCTAGTCCAGCCCCTGCTCAAGGCGGGAGCCTCATACGGAATGACAGAGGTGGAATGGACCCCGGGAGGTCGTCTAGTCCTACCCCTGCTCAAGGTAGGGGCCTTACGCTATCAGGTCCAATGGCTGGCTGTCCGGTCTCTTGAAAACCTCCAGTGATGGAGCACCCACAATTTCTGGTGGCAGGCCGTTCCACTGGTTTCATTGTTCTCACCGTCAGGAAGCTTCTCCTTAATTCTAGGTTGTTTCTCCCCTCCGTTAGTTCCCACCCGCGGCTTCCCGTCCCGCCTTCTGGTGCTGGGTAGTAACCAACGCGCTGGGTCTTCTCCCTGGGTTTGATCTTGGGGCGTCCGTCTATTTTGAGAGATTGACGGCGCCTCTCGGAGGGATGGCAGGAAGGCAGTCGGAAAGGGAAGGAAACATTTAACCTGGTTTGCCCGTGGCTTATATTGCAATTGCATCCAGACGTGCAGCTACAAGCCTCTTCCTGACAAGCCCGGGCAGAGACCCGGGAATGACGTCACTCCATCCCCTTCTTGCCCCGCCCTTGCCTTCCCAGGCCTCCCATTGGTCAACGCTCCGTGACGCCACCGAGGCGTGGCTCCTCCTCCTCCGCCTCCTCTTCGCGCCTGCGCAGAAGCGGCCAGTCTCTCCGCGGAAAGGCCGCGCTCGTCTCCGGACTGTCGGCCGAGCAACCCGGGGAGGGGATCGTCCCGGCGCCGCCATGGAGAGCTCGGGCGCAGGTGCGAGGCGGGACGGGAGCCAGGCCCAGCCCGGGGGCCGCTTCCCTGCGCCGGGGAGGCCGGCCCTGCGGCCCCCTCCCCAGGGCTGGCGGGGGTCGCCCCGAAAGGGGGAGGGGGAGCCCCCCCGCCTTGCTTCTGGAGGGGGGGGTGGGGGTGGGGGGTCTCCATCCCTGCAGGCTTTGAAGGAGAGACTGGACAGACCCGTGTCCGGCAATGATGCGGGGGTTTCCTGCTTGAGCGGGAGGAGGGGGTGGGGTTGGACTAGATGACCTCCCAGGTCCCTTTTCCAAACTCTGGTATTCCCTTAGTTCTGTTTGTTAGCCTGGCAATGATTCTGCTGGTTGACTCTGTCCTCCTTCTGTTTGTCATACTCTGTTCTGGTTTCCTGTTGTTCTGTCGTTGTGTTCTTCTGTTGGTGGCTCTTCTTCTCTTTTTCTGTTCTTCTGTTTGTAGTGCTGTGTGTTTATTCTGTTTCTCTGTTGTTATAATAATAATAATAATAATAATAATAATAATAATAATAATAATAATAATAATAATAATAATAATAAAGTTGGAAGGGACCTTGGAGGTCATCTAGTCCAACCCCCTGCTCAGGCAGGAAACCTTATACCATTTCGGACAAATGGCTGTCCAGTCTCTTCTTAAAAACTTCCAGTGTTGGAGCATTCACCACTTCTGGAGGCAGGTTGTTCCACTGGTTAATTGTTCTCACTGTCAGGAAGTTTCTCCTTAGTTCCAGGTTGCTTCTCTCCTTGATGAGTTTCCACCCGTTGCTTCTTGTCCTGCCTTCAGGCGCTTTGGAGGACAGCTTGACTCCCTCTTTTTTGGGGCAGCCCCTGAGATACTGGAACACTGCTATCCTGTCCCCCCTCGTCCTTCTCTTCATTATTGTGTCGTTCTCTTTGTTACTCTGTTGCTGGTTCTGTTATCCTGTTTGTTATCCTGCTGTTCTCGTTTTTTTCTCCCAAAGGTGCTTTTTTCTTTTTCTTTTTAATTTTTATTTTTCGTTTTTTCACTATACGACAAAAATAAAACCGAAAAATACATTTTTTCCCCCTTAACAGAACTGTGTTATACATCTCAAATATATTATTTACAATTTATTTACATCAGTAATCATGTCTTTTTCTTTCTTTGTTCTAGTGCCAGTGTTTCTCAACCTTGACAATTTTAAGGCATGTGGACTTCAACTCCCAGAATTCCACAGCCAGCAATGCTGGCTGTGGAATTCTGGGAGTTGAAGTCCACATGCCTTAAAATTGTCAAGGTTGAGAAACACTGTGAATCTAGCCAATCATAACATTTGTTCCATATTTCACACAATTCTGTTGCCTCCTTGTCTTTTAATTGTAGCGTAAGTTTATTCATTTCCGCGCATTCAAGAATTTTGTATATAATCCTATCGTTTGTAGGTATGTTTTCACCCTTCCAACACTGGGCATCTACTATGCGGGCTGCTGTCAATATACGTATAATGATGTATTGGAGTTGTTTTTCCATCTTTAAATTTATTATACCCAAAAGAAATAGTTCAGGTTTAAATTCAATTTGCACCTTAGTTATCTCCTGTATCCAGTTCCCTATCCGCTCCCAGTAGCTCTTTGCTTTAGGGCACAGCCACCACATGTGATAAAATGTTCCTTCAAAGGTGTTTTTTTTCAAAAGGCAACTGGACCTCCTTGTTCTTCTTTGAAGATGTTTCGCTTCTCATCCCAGAAGCTTCTTCGGCTCTGACTGGATGGTGGGGAGATGGAAGGATTTATATTCCTGAGGACGCAGGTAATCTTCCAAGTGGCCTCAAAGACCCTCTAAAAAGAAGGCAAATGACCGGCTGTCTGCAATGAGTATAAATCCTTCCATTCCCCACCATGCAGTCAGAGCTGAGGAAGCTTCTGGGATGAGAAGCGAAACGTCTTCAAAGAAAAACAAGAAAGTCCAGTTGCCTCCTGAAAACAGCACCTTTGGGACAACCCTGACCTGGATGACGGAGAATCTCCATAGACATTCTCTTTTTTTCTGTTTTTCAGTTCTTTCATTGTTGTGCTATTCGATTTGTTACTCTGTTCTGTTTTTCTATTGCTCTGTTATGGTGTTGTTGCGTGTTCCTCTTATTCTCTTCCTGTTCTTCCGTTGGTTACTCCGTTATTCTCTTTTGTGTTATTCAGTTATTCGTGGTATCCGTAGCAGAACATCCAGATTCAGCCATAAGTTTCATTCCATACAGCATTAACCTTGCGAACTCTCAAGCTTCCTCCTTCTGTTATGTATTCAAGATGGACAGTATTTAATATTTATTTGCTACGTGTAGGTAGGGATGTGGGTCTATACATACGTTGTTCATAGTATGTTTAGGTGTGCGTCATGTATGTGTTTCACTTTGAGAGCAGGTAACTAAATTTCATTTTTGATGTGTGCCGTTGTGCCCACAGTAAAAAAAATGACAATAAAGGTTATCTTATCTTATCGCTTTGTTACTCTCTTATTCTGTTGCTTATTCTGTTATCCTGTTTGTTACTTTGTTTTTCTCTGTGTTGTTCTCTTTTTCTGTTATTCTGCCTCCCGGGGATCCTGCTCAGGACCTGGACAGGGTAGGCCTCCCTCTCCACACGCTGCGCTCAGAGCCAGGAAGGGCTCTGTTCCTCGGAGGGTCCGGAGCTGCGGTGGCACGCAGTCCCACCGGCTGCTTTTGAGAGGGTGGGGTGGAGAGAAGGCCCCCCCTGGGTCTTTTCCATCGCCCGATATAAGCCTTGATGGTTTTGCCCCCCCCAGGGACGGACCGGCAGCTGGCTCAGCTTGTGGAAGACTTGACCACCTCTGGGGAACCACAGCTGGATCCAAAGAAGATGAAAGCGCTGAAGAACATCTGCAGGTAGCCGTGGAAGAGAGTATTTGTGGCTCAGGGTTCAATTGTTCAGGGGTCCTTGGTGCTCTCTGAGCTTGGCGGTTTTCTTGCAGACGTTGCATGACCCAACTAGGGAACATCATCAGTGCTAGGAGGAGCCCTCTGTGTGTAGCCCCTTCACTGAAATATTTAGTTATTGAAAATCTTTTTTCTTTTCCTTGCAAAAAGAGCTTTAAAAAGTATCTTTTATGTTGGGCTTTTTACACAGGGTTTGCAAACTGCACAGTTTGTAAGTGTAAGGTCAGGTGAAATCCAAAGTGTGTTGATTTGGGAGAAATCTTAAGTAGGCTTGGCTTACGTGTGGATTAGCCCAGTTGGGTGGGCTTATCTTGATTGATCTCTAACCACAATCAGGTCTGGTTAGATTTTAGATCAGAAAAATGTGGCAGATGGGCATCAAAACAATCTGAGAAGATGCTGCAACTTTAAGCAGGGTGGACTTCAAGTCTCAGAATTCCCCAGCAGGCCTGCTGGCTGGGGGATTCTGGGACTTGAAGTCCACACAGCTTAAAAGTTGTCGAGGTTGAGAAACATTACTGTAGAACACATGCATTGAATTGCTGGCTCAGTCTGAAGTTTGAACTGTATTATTTGTGCCAAAGATGGCAGCCTTAAAGGTTTTGACAAATAGAAAGATTTTAATTAGTGCATGGAGGGAGAGAGTTATATTCTGGAATAAAAATGTTTGAATTAATTGTTTTTTGCATGCAGAGGCATCCCCAAGCAGTGGTCAACAACATCAAGAATGGTGGCCACGTTGCTGCAGTGGAAGGGCCACTTTTTTTGTATATATTTTATTAATTTTTGTAGGATTAGGATTAGGGTTGGGTTTTTTTTAAAATAACATTCTTAATATTTAGCAAATAGCATATTGTCTGGGTTCATGTATTTAAAAAATAAGAGTTAATTTCCATATTATCATAATATGTTAGTTAATCGCTCAATAGTCTTTTTCTTACAGATGATAGATTAGACCAGTGTTTCTCAACCTTGACAATTTTAAGGCATGTGGACTTCAACTCCCAGAATTCCACAGCCAGCATTGATTGCAGGCAGATGATTACAACCTGACATATACTATGGGCCACTTGCTTTTGATACACCTTGTGGGACACTCCTGTTGCCACACAATACAGGTAGCCCTCCTTTAGTGACCATTTAGTGACCTGAAGTTACAACAGCACTGAGAAAAGAGACTTAGGACCATTTTTCAAAGTTACGACTGTTGCAGCATCCCCGCGGTCACGTGATTTATATTCGGATGCTTGGCAACTGGCATGTACTTATGACGGTTGCAGAGTCCCATGGTCAGGGGATCCCCTTTTGCGATCCTTCTGACAAAGTCAATGGGGAATCCTGGTTCTAACTTCACAACTGCAGTGATTTGCTTAACAGCTGTGGCAAGCAAAGTCGTAAAATGGGACAAAACTCATTTAACAGGTTTCTTACTCAGCAACATAAATGTTCGTAAGTCAGCAACTACCTGTGTTGTACTTATCCAATGAGGCTGTCTCGTTTAATATCCTGCTTATCCCACCGTTGGCATTCCACAGGTGCTCTGATGAACACATAAACCACGTTTACCACCTGCTGATGTCCCAGTTAAACCAAGAACACGCCGAGATACGTCTTTCCGCCTTCCAGATAGTGGACCAGCTCTTCGCTCGCTCGCATCTGTTCCGGACGTTGCTTGTCTCCAACTTCCAAGAATTCCTGGAACTGACAGTGGAAACAGACTACGACCGGCCTCTCCCTCCGCCAACGGAGGCAGCCCAGAAGCTGAAAAAGGCTGCCATCCAGTCTGTGCAAGAATGGCACGAGAAGTATGGAGAAGCCTACAAGAAACTTTCTCTGGGATACCACTTCTTAAAACAGAACAAGAAGGTATCCAAATACTCGCTTTTATGGTTTGATGCTTCAGGGGGGTGTTTTTCAAGCTGGGCAGCTTTAGGATGTGGGGACTTCAACTGGCTAGCACAGCTGGCTAGGGAATTCTGGGAGTTGAAGTCCCCACATCTTTTATGTGTGTGTGTTTGTGTTTGTGTGTGTAACTTCCTGACAGTTAGAACAATTAACCAGTGGAACCACCTGCCTCCAGAAGCGGTGAATGCTCCAACACTGGAAGTTTTTAAGAAGAGACTGGACAGCCATTTGTCCGAAATGGTCTAGGGTTTCCTGCCTGAGCAGGGGGTTGGACTAGATGACCTCCAAGGTCCCTTCCAACTTTACTATTATTATTATTATTATTATTATTATTATTATTATTATTATTATTATTATTATTATTATTATTATATACATATTAATTTTTATAGGGTTAGGGTTTTTATAAAATAACATTCTTACTATTTAGCAAAACGAGAAAAACTAGAAAACTGGCTAGAAAAACGAGTTAGAGAGAAAGGAACGTAATATGTACTATGAAACATTGAATACATACTAGTAAGAAGAACTATTGAGCGATTAACTAACATATTGATTATGATAATATAGAAATTGGTGCACAACCCAGAATCCCCTGGAGTTGGGCCGCCAATTTAAATAAATAAATAAATAAAATAAAGTTGGAAGGGATCTTGGAGGTCATCTAGTCCAACCCCCTGCTCAGGCAGGAATCCCTACACCATTTCAGAGAAACGGCTGTCCAGTCTCTTCTTAAAAACTTCCAGTGTTGGAGCATTCACCGCTTCTGGAGGCAGGTAGTTCCACTGGTTAATTGTTCTCACTGTCAGGAAGTTTCTCCTTAGTTCCAGGTTGCTTCTCTCTTTGGTTAGTTTCCATCCGTTGCTTCTTGTCCTGCCTTCAGGCGCTTTGGAGAAGAGCTTGACTCCCTCTTCTTTGGGGCAGCCCCTGAGATACTGGAAGACTGCTATCATGTCCCCCCTCGTCCTTCTCTTCGTTAAACTAGACATCCCCAATTCCAGCAACCGTTCCTTAGATGTTTAGATGAATTTATCCGTTTTTGCGCAGCTTCTGTAAACTTCCTGAGAACAGCTTCCGTGGGCTCTCTCAAGGGGAGAGGGATAGGATGAAAAAATATGGGAAAATAATCTACTGACCGATGTTCCGCACCAAGAAAATGCTGCACATCAAGCCAAGACCATTCATCCACCAGCAATGTTAACATTTTATAAATAACCAGTATGGAACTGAACCCAAATTTTAACCTGCTTAGAATGTGCCTGTTGTATTATATGGGGTTTAATTTTCTCCTGTTCCTTTTTAGGTCGATTTTCAAGATGTACATGCCAGGACTCTAGCAGAAAGGAAACGAGATGAAGAGAGGCAGAAACGATTGGATAATATTTACAAGGATAAAGCCCAAAAAGCAGAAAAGGAAATGAAAGGTGAGAGATTTTTATTTATTTATTATTTATTAAATTTATATACTGCCCTATCTCCCTTACGGGACTCAGGGCGGTGAACAGGCGATACTAAAAACCACAATAATAAATAAATAGTTCTGTTCTAAAATCAAATTAAATAACAGGCCTGTTCTAAAAACACCCCATACAAAACCCCCACTAAAACATAATCAAACTACGCCAGGCCGGCCGCACGGAATAGATGGGCCTTCAGGGCTCTGGGAAAAAAGATAGAGGGTGGCAGTATATTTCTCCCCATTATATTTCTGGATGACGTCCCCACATTCTTCCCTCGTATTTATGGGTGTTACCCCTAGGCGTGCTTCCACACGGTCACTGCCGTAAATGATGATCTGTTCATAGATCAGGAATCTGTCAGGATCTGTGTTAGACAGCTTGGGGTAAGATAGAATTATCACCATGAAGGGTAAGAAAATTGAGTCGATCAAGGTCTAAACATCTTCTAAGCTTGTGCCAATATACAGGCAGTCCTCAATTTACAACAGCTTGTTTAGTGACCGTTTTGAAGTTACAACAGCACGGACAAAAGGGACTTAGGACCGTGTTTCCCCACTTAGGACCGTCGCAGCGCCCCAGGGTCCCGTGATCAAAATTCAGGCGCTCGGCAACCGACTCATACTTATGACGATTGCAGCATCCCGGGATCACGTGGTCCCCTTTTTACGACCTCCTTAGAAGCAAAGTCAGTGGGGAAGCTGGATTCACTTAACAACCGTGTTACTAAACTTAGCAACTCGGGGGGATTCCCTTTTAACTTCTGTGGCAAGAAATGTCGTAAACATGGGGGCCAAAACTCCCTTCACAAACGTCTCGTTTAGCAACAGAAGTCTTGGGCTGTAACTGGAGGATAAGCTATACCGGATTTTTTTTTGGCAGCGTTTACATAGGGGAGCTAGTCCTTTTGAGGAGACGAGCTGGCTTGAGTGCCGACCTGCCCCAAATGTTCTGAATTTACTCGACAGATACGTCTGAAGAGATGCAGTCTGTGCTGACCGAGCTGGACAGCTGTTTCCAGCTGCTGGTTCCGGATCCTTTGGACTTCACAAACGGCACCTGTTCCTCGGCGCAGGTAGCAAACCAACCAGGATCCTCCATGGATCAGGATCAGCAACCTTGTTGTAGCAAGGACCTCCCCCGCGTTTCTCCGGTGGCAGAAGACTCCGACAGGGAAACGGAGAAGGACCGAGGACCGGGAGATCCCTTCCAGCCTGGATCCGCTTCTCTTGGCCTGATGGGAGACGATGATCCCGCCCTGTTTCTTCGAAGCCACGGACTCGGCTCTTACAAATATGCGCTCAGTCTGGAAGTATCTTCAGGTACCTGGGCCCTATTTCACCCCGAAGTTCTTTTTGGGAAGTTGCTCGAACAGGGGGTTGGACTAGAAGACCTCCCAGGTCCCTTCCAGCTCCGTTTTTCTCTCATTCTGTCCCCCAGTTTTCGGGATTCTTTCAAGCAAGGGTATTTTCCCAGGCTTTTTCACGGGTGGCACTGAATATTGCCGTTTTCACCACAACAGAGTAACCCACACAAGTAGTAGGTGGCCAAACACTCAAGCAGGGACATTATTTTCAAGAATAACGTTGAACCGTTATTCTTGAAAATAATGAAGCGAAGGAGAGACGCAACCTAGAATGAAGGAGAAGCTTCCTAACAGCGGGAACAATTAACCAGTGGAACAGCTTGCCACCAGAGGTTGTGGGTGCCCCAACACTGGAGGCCTTTAAAAAGAAAATGGGCAGCCATCTGTCAGAAATAGTATAGGTCTCCTATGAGAGCGGGGGATTCGACTAGATGACCTCCAAGGTCCCTTCCAACTGTTATACTGTTTTTTAC